TCGCCGGGCAAAGCTCGAACTGCTCGTCGTCATCGTGCACAATGCTCCTCAACCAGCTACACGACCTCCCTCAATATTAGGGTCCTCCACGTTTCGCGTGGCGCGTTGCGAAGCGTCGTACGTGTTGAATGAGACACACCAGGTCCTCTGCCGCCCTTTGTTGGTCGTCCATCTATGTTCGTCGTCGGTTCTTCACCGCGGCCGTCCACCAGTTGGTCGTAGCATGTACTCGAACGGGTACTATCTGACTCGATTGCGTCGTCGCCGCCGTCGCGGTTCCACCAGTCTGGCCTTCGTCGCTCCGTCTGCACTCTTTATTGTCATTTCTTCGCTTCGTTTCGTTCTTGTTGTCGGCGTTCGATCGCGAGCTGCCGCTGCTGCTCGTACAGTCGCTCGTATTACCTCGCCATTATTCGGCGTCACCCTCTGATCTTCATTGTCCAGCTGCTCCATCAAGTGCGCCGCCGCTTGTGGAAGAGGGTATTGATAGCACACCAAAAACGACGTGTGAACTATTATCGTCATCAGTGGTCCCATCTTGTCCTCGTGTTTGAGCAGCCAACCCTCGTAGTCTGCTGGCTCCACTATGCGCATCGAGGCCATGCATTGGTGGGCAAACTTCGTCGCCTTTGGTCCTCGATGTGGATTGAACACCCACACTCGGTCGCCAACGCTGAACAGCCGTCGCTGTCGCGTCCTACTGTTGTAACGGATTTCACTGAATAGTAGTCGGGCTTCCAATAATGCGAGCCCCTTAAAAACCATCAATTATGAAAGGGAGCTTTTACTACGTAGAGGGCTTGTAATAGTTAGTAGTTCAAAATTGGCAATCAGTACAATCACGTAGCATTATAAATGTCAGTGTACGTATGGAAGCAAGCGGTGTATATTAACCGTGCCAGTAGGCAATGTAGGGTGGTGGAACGGGTTGAGATGGAGCGATCTATAGGGGCATCATCACAGAGGCCTCTACTTCTGCATTTCCGGGTGATTCTTGAGCTGTGTCGCTCGCCAGCGTCTGTACGTCGGCCATCCCGTCCGCCGTATGGTATGTAATACCATTCGGGATCATGTCGGCGCCCACCAAAGTCGTCGTCATTACAGAGCTACGGGTACGGTTCCGTCACCGTACCCGTAGCGTTAATCACAGTCACCTCGGGGCTATGAGCCTCCGTAGCATCGCTCATCGCGCTCGTAGCGTCGCTCACAGTCGTGGTGGTGCTGACGGCATTGTGGCACTGCTCGCCATACCGACCATGCCGTCTGTGGTCATGCCGAGGCCCTTCGGCATCTTGACCTCGCTCTTTACTCTCGTACCGTTCCCTTGATCTCCGTGTGTGTCGCCGGAGGCTTCAGTCGTCGTATGTGGCTCCGCTAGTGCCGCTCCCGGCGTCTGTAACCGGCGCCTCATCATCGCACTTTCCCGTCGTGAAATTGGTTCCGTCGCAGCCATCATCTTGGGCCAGCCCGTACCGCGCCGATGTCGTCGTGCTCATCACCATTATGCGCTAGCACTGGCACTGTCGTCACGTCCTTGACATCGTCAGCTGCGTTCGTCGCTGTCGTCCTCATCACCACATGTGGTCTAAGCACTACCGCTAATGCCCTCGATAGAGCGTCGACCACGACGTTTGCGGCACCCGGACGGTACAAAATTGCAAATGCGTATTCTTGTAGAGCTAGCGATCAGCGGTGCAGATGCCCCGCTGGATTCGGTCGCGTTATCAGCTATTTAAACGCGCGGAAAGGTCCGTGACGATCTCGCGCACACGCCCATACAAATTAGGTCTGAGCAGCGTGATCGACTAGACCACCGCCAAGCATTCAAGCTCGGTGATAAAAAAGTTTTCCTCCGACGTACTGTTCACTTAACCGGCAAATGCAGTGGGTTGCTAGCTATTGTCATGATCCTGCATCAGGCAGGCGTCCAAACCAGCTTTACTGGCATCTGTCGCGAGACGGAAAGGAAGCGCGAAGTTAGATACATTAAAAGCGGTTTCTTGGTCAGTGCCGCCTTCGCTCGTTTGAACGGGAGCTGCTGACCTTCCGCTCATTGCCATTCACTATCCGTCTTGAGCAATCGAGTCATCGGGGCCATTTTTGATCCAAAGGCCTTGGTAAATCTCCTGTAATAGCCACGAACCTCTTGACTTCCATCGGGTCCTTGGGCGTCGGGAGCTTCGAGACCGCCGTAATAAACTGTGCTACCGGTCGGACACCGTCACTGCTGAGTCATGTCCAAAATATTCCATCGAACGTGCTGCGAGCACGCACTTTTTGAGTTTGAGTGTGTGTCCAGCTCTCGATAGTCACACGCTCAAACTCGTCCTTCCTAGAACGACTATCGAGTTGCACTAGATGCTTCTCGATCAATCCTTGAGTGAACACCAGTATATCATCCAAATATACCAGGCATGAGGTCCACGTCAGGAAACCTACAATCCCGTTCATCATTCGTTGAAAAGTCGAAGGTGCATTCATCCGACCAAACGACCTGCCTTGAAGCCGATAAAGCCCTTGTTTCGTCGTAAAAGCGGTTTTATCTCGATTTCCTGGCGCAACTCCTATTTGCCAGTACCCGGAGCGAAGATCTAGTGTTGTAAATAGCAACGAGCCACCGAGAGCTTTTAGCGCTTCATTAATTTGCGGTAGAGGATATACGTCGCGTTTAGTCAGCTTATTCAAAGAGTGGTAATCATTAGAAAACCTGACTTCCCCCTCCTTTTTGCGAACAATGGCAACAGGGAAGCCCCAAGCTCCGTTATCCTCTTCAATCACTCCTGCACCCAACATATTAGTCACATTGTCCTCCACATTTACGTCTTCGGTCTTAACTTGTCGTCGGTTTTTCAGCATGATAGGCGCGCTGTTCCCGGAATCGATATTCTGCTGAAAGTCCAGCTTCGTCGCCGGTGGGCAGCCACCCGCACTCGCCATCACACCTCGACTCGCAGATGTTTTAGCACTATTGCACTTACTTAGAGTGATTATTAGCATTTATTTTCATTTATAAACTTAAACGTAAAATAGTATGGAAATGTCACTTACTGCTCACCAGGGAATCCGAAAAAATAATGTG